TGCCGGGGGCGCCGCGCCTCGCCTCGCCTCGCCACACCTTACAGCAGGTACCCGGCCGACCTGCGCTTACTTGCCTCGGCCACGTTGCGATGGATCCGTCTTCCCCGTAGCCTCCGAGGAGGCGGCCTCTTGAGCCGGCAGATACTCGTTCTGGTAGTCTGCTACAGCAGCTTTTCAGCGCGTAACAAGCAGCAGCTTCAGTGCGTAACAAGTAGCAGCAATGACCATTTCCTACCGATTCTTCTCCTCTAAGGGGAGGAAAGCACGTACCGCGTTTCCTGCACATCAGCTGCGCGTGATGCACAGCAGATCTGCAAATCCAAGATGCAGCACCGCTGTCGTGTCTGTATGTGCTGCATGAAGAGGTCGCTGGCTCTGTGTTGTGTTATTGGCAAGGCAGCACAGAATAACAGTTCCAGCATTGGTTTAATCCTCTTCCAAGTCCTTGTTTTTCACTGAAGCACCGTTTGTTTGTTTGTTTTGAAACAGGTGGAATGGCGCCCCACTCTTTTAGATGTACCTGCTCAGACTAAGTTTGATTACATGGTGACTGACCTAAATGGAGGACCTCGACCTCCCTCACGCTATGAGGAGCAATACAAAAAGACGATATTCAAGGTGAGGCTGTCTTTCACAGTGGTTTTCTGTTCCCTCTGCTGACTTGTTTATTTCCATATTCCACTGGAGACCCTTCCTTTTCTTTGCACGTAGGGTGGTGCAATTGCAGGACAGCTGACCACAGTAGGGATGCAGCAGATGTTTGCCCTGGGGGAAAGGCTGAGGAGAAGCTATGTGGAAGAAGCCAGCTTTCTCTCACCAACATTTAAGCCTGCTGAGGTTTTGTGAGTCTCTCAGTTCCCTCCTGGACCTTCCCTTGCTTCCTCCCTCCTAACGAGTAGGCCCTGTGCTAGGGACACTTTCTGACCAGCGTACCTTTCTCCACCCCATAGCAAACTGGCTGGCCCCCAGGCCTTTATCTTTGCTCAGCCTGCAGAGCCCAGTACAAGAACTCACTCATGACACAAAGCATCCAATTCCCCAGCAGGCATGAGAGTGATGCTGGGGACAGATTCATCTCACCTAGGTTCAGCCATTGGCAGTGGTGTTATGCACCTTTATGGTGAGTGAAGAGAAACAGGCATTTCTGGAGCACAATTTAACTCACTGTAGATTAAATAGCTAACATTCAGTGAGACGAAGCACACCCCTGCTGCTCACATCAGTAATGCTGGGAGTGTCTGGTTTAGGATGAGATAAAAATTACACCAGAGAAGTGCCAATTTGCTATTTCCACTGTCTCTGAAGGGAAGTTAAACAGCAGTTCAGATATAGGTGTCTGTAGCGGGGCAAGATGAATCCCACCACAGGTTTCCAAAGCCACAGTGAAAGCAGAAAGCCTCAGTTCCAGCAAGTCCTCCCCAGCTGCAGCCACATCCACATGAAGGGGAAAGTGCTACCTCACAAACTGCTTTCTCTCTTTCAGCATTCGTTCCACTAATATTTTCCGGAATCTGGAGTCCACACGGTGCTTATTAGCTGGACTGTACCAACAGCAGAAAGAAGGTTGGGGAGACTTCTGACCAGTGCCTTTCCTTTCTCGGTCTTCCCTAGATGCACACACCTCACACATCCCAACTCTCTCAGGCTCCTGGTTGTTACTTCTTCCCCATACTCTCCTGGTTCTGTACATTCCTTATCAACTTGACACTCCCTCTCTTTGTGTGGCTTTCTGCTGGTGCTCAGCTTGGATCTGTTGCTGTGAATGCTACAGTTTCAGACCTACTGATGAGGTTAGCATTAACCTGCTTCAGAATCAAGAGGGCAAGAGTTCCAGGTCCGATGTTAACCTGAAAAAAGTTTCTCAGAGGAAGCCAAGTATCTCGGCCATAGGAGTACCAAGATCCTTTACAAGTTAGGTATCTGGAGTAACTTTCAGCTGTATCCTACAGTTGACAACTACTTGTATGTCCTAGAAATACGCTCTGAGTTTTGAAGATCTCACCTCTGCTCCCTCCATATTCAGCTCCAGGAACTAATAGCAGAAGTGACTTGCTACAGCTCCTTATGCCTACATGACACAAAAGCTAATTTTTGTCACATACAAACACTAGAAAAAACAAACACACAACTAGAAAGCTTTACAAGGTGCACAGCAGACATCCCTGTGGAATTAAATGCTGCGTGTGCAGAACCAAGCACAGTGGCTTGTGTTGCAGGCAATAGCTCAGGGGGAATTGCTAGTTGACAACAATGGACTTGAGCACAAAGACTGTGGGAGTGATTAAAGCAGTTTAAAGACACACAGATGCACTAGTGATCACAGAAGCTTCCTTCTCATTCCACAGGATCTGTTGTCATTGTCACTGATGAAGCAAGCTCTGAAATCCTCTACCCCAATTACCACAACTGCCAGCGCCTGAAATGCTTGAGCAGGTAATTGCCAGCCTTACCTCCCCATATGATTTCACTGCTGTTTCATTTCAGCAGTAGTAATTGAAAACAGCACGTTTTCTTCCCATTTCCCAATTTCTTCCCCTGCCACTTACTGTTCTTTGGGAATGGTTAGCTAGTTGTTTAAAATACTTGGTGAGCAGCATCTTACACCAAGCAGTGGCACCAGAAGAAAAAAGAAAAAGAAAAAAAGAGACACTTTTTCTTGAAAGACCAATTGAAGTGTCTAGCAAACACTTATTAGTAGCTAATGTACGGCTATTCTGCAGCATTGCTGCAGGGCAGAATTAACATCATGTACATCCCTTAACATGCCTTTCAAGTATGAACATATTGGGCCTCCTTTTTATATTCAGCTTCCAGTTTGGGGGTTATTACAACATTCCTGTCACATTTATACCTTGAAGAAACTGAAATATACTCAGCCTTGACACATTTAACAAAGACTAATGAAGTAAAATAAGGAACATCCTACATAGAAAGAACACTCATGTTTGCAGAGTCAAGTAAATGCCTGTGACAGGTTGGGCATGGGGTGGAAACTGAACAAGAGAGGCAAATGTATTACAGTTTGGTTGGATTATACATTAGCATATTTTTGTCCAAAATTCAGGAGTTGTCAGAATTCACTTGCAGAAGCTCATTATAATGAGCTTTTAATTTAATATTATATATAGTGCTTGACTCTGCAGAGAGAGGGTTGTTCTTGACAGTAGTGAGGTGATGGCCCATAGCAGCAGTACATTCAGCCTCCTCTAGTAACATCAACTGTCCAAAAAGGGAGTAAACTGCAAGCACGTCTGCCCCCTCCCCCTCAGCCCACCAACTGAGCACATTTTGTGACCACATCAAGGTGGATTTTTTTTAAGCTGCAGTAAGAAGCACTGCCTCAGCTTACAGGCTACCTATGTCAGAACTTCTAGCATGTTTGATTTCAAACAAACTAGAGCTATTCCTAAAAAAAATAAAAAGCAAACTTAAAACTTTTCCCACCTCCTCCCCCACAGATCAGGGTCAGCGAAAACAAAACCTATGCAACACACTTTGCTTGAAGTACATGGCCAGCATGGATATTCTCAGCTGAACTTTTTAATATAAAATTTAAAACAGTGTAGCAAGGGAAATGGCTTCTAACAAAGTGAGAGATGAATTTAAGCTGCAAGTGAGTATCTAGGTGTTTCCCTTTTCCCACACAATACAGCAATCAGTTCAAAGCTCCTACCCTTTCTTCTTTCATGAGGCAGCTAAAGGCTACTCCCTGAAGACACAGACTTGTACTGTTCCAGTATGACCAGATCTGTTAACTGATACACAGCCCTTGCTTATGGGAAACCACTTCTGAGGTGTTCACGTCTTATCTTAATTTTTTCCCCCACCTCTGTGAGAACAGATAGCCAGCTCCAATGCTTGACAGCTAGACACAAGCATCTGTCCGCTCTGCAACTTAGACTCCCAGCATCAGGAATCCGTCAGGATCCTGTGGTGCTTCTCTTCTACCCCTCACTGATGCGAGACAACTCCACTGGGCTAGGGTCACAAAAAAAAAAAAAAACCAAACCCAAAGGATAGGAAGTCTGATGTGTGAAAAGTTTTTGTTTTGTTTTCTTAATTCCCTGGCAGGCATAAGTTGAAGAATGCTCTGCAACAGCCAGGTATCTCTGATGACTTGAAAACAATTAAGGAGAAGATGGGTATTGATGGTGATAAGTCTGTGGATTTTTTTCTCCTCCTTGACAACATTTTTGCTGAGCAGGTAAGCTGAGCAGTTCTGTTGCACTGTCACAGAAAGAAACATCCCTTTACCATGCAAATGGAGGAAACCATGGAGTGCCAACACCCACTGATACCAGCGGGTACCCCAGTACCTTTCTATGCAATCCAGAAAGTTTATAGAAATAGCATGGCCTTTTTAAAAAGCAAGATGTGGAGTTAGCCTTGCTCTAGGATGGATGAAGACTCATCTCCAGTATTTATGGTCCTACCTTGAAATCCAGTATCTCTTTCAAGTGTAATGAAGTAGAGCTAAGAGAGCAGTTGGGCCTTGCTTACCCCATTACAAAGTGCTTTCCATTTTCTGGCAGTCAGCACCCAATGGAGTCATCTTAATCCTGGTTCCAGCATACTACCCATGAGCCAGATTGCTTCTGCTACTGGAAGGGAGCTGGGCATATTTGTAGCCCCCTTGGTACCTCTTTTTTTGCTGGAGCTAATGGTAATTGGTCTGGCTGTCAGTTGAATAGCTCAAGGCATTACACTCCCTTCCCATAGAAATGTACCCTCAAGAACAAACATCCATCCTTTTGGTACATAGAGCAAGTCTGTATGTTTAAAAGCATCCTAGAACTCCTCACATGAATAACATAGTACAAATGCTGTGACATGAACAGCTGTTTTCTGTGGGTAGTCATCTGTGTATGTCCAGGCTGGAATCAGAAAGGTTTTTATGTTACGCTATTGTTACGCTACATTTTCTTCTTCCAGGTGCACAATTTGCCAAGCTGCCCTGTGCTGAAGAACTTTCAGCAGACAGTCGAGCGTCGATCTGTTGATTCGCTGCTTTTCCTTCTGGAAGATGGTTCAAGGTGATTGCCTGTATCCATGCCTCCAGCCTTAGGGGTTGTCTTTGGCTTACCCAGGGCGGATGAGCTACACCACCTTACTGCAGCAGATGGAAGTCCTTTCTGATCTGCTGCATTCCTCCACTAGAGGCTACTGCCCCCTCATGAGGTTTGTGCCTCAGCCATCTCAGTGTAAAGTCCAGTGCCTTGAGGCAGGAACACAAGCTAGGACAGAGGAGCCCAGACCTGGAGGCCAAGATGTGGGCCTACGTCCTGTCTTGCTGACAGTCGTGGAGAGTAGTCTCTGAGGAACAGTAGTAAGCCACTGAGGTAGGCAGTGAGTGCCTCAGTTGCCATGGTTGTTTAAGTGAACCTGTGTCAAAGGCAAAAGAAGAATAGGAGATGCTTCCAGCCTGAGTGCTGAGGCTGCACAGGCGAGGCTGCCCTTGCAGATGCACAGCTACAATCTGAATTCCAACCTGGGAAGTTTATCCTAGGGATGGCACCTGCACAGCTGGGCCAAGAAGTGTTGGTGCTGGTGGAAAAGGTGATGCCAGTCCCTGCACACATGTAACGACTTGCAAAAGAATCTGCTGCAACATGCAGTTAATTACCTCCTCCACAGTTGTTTGTAAAGGTAGCTGAGTTGCTAGCCTAGCAGCTGTTTTCCTTTCAGATTCATTCGCAGCTGCCATACTCACCAGCTCTTCTCAGGTGGTATAGGACTGCCTTTTCTATTAGGGCAGTTGCCCTTAGCCTTCTCATTAACTTGTATTAGAGAACTTGGGTACTGAAAGACTGATTTCCCCCACTCCCACAACACCCGGAGAGCCACAGTCACACTCGTCCTCCGTTTCCACTGATGTATTCATTAGGTAGAGGGAGTTTCTTCACACCAGAAGTTGTCTAAAATTCTTCTCTTTGTTCAATACAGGATGAAAACTGATTTTTAAATAAAGCTGCTACCTTCTTGAATCCTGCCCCTCCCCTTCCTGCCAAAGACCCCAACCACTTCAGTTGCTGGTTTGTAGTCAACTACAGCCATCTCCCCTAGCTGAAAACCCTGCATCCAAAAATCACAACTAGGGAAACAAAATAGCATTGAGAACATCAAGGAGTTTCTAGGTTTCCTTTTATGTGGGCCACACCTCATGAGACTGCTTGTTAACACCTCTCCCCTCCCAATATGCAATCTCATTAGAATCTCTGCAGTGACTATACAACTGCTGAAATAAAAAGTAACCATAGGAATTCCATGTAACAGTTCTTCGCTACACTCAATACATGTTATCAATTTGTAAGAGAAAAGCAGGTTCCTAGGTGTTTGTTTGAAATTATTTAATCTGAAAGTTTAAAAACTAGTAGATTTATTTCTGCTTCTTTTATAGAGAAGTTCTTCAGATGAGTGTTGGTCGTCTTTTCTATACCTTACAGAAGAACATTACAGAAGCAGTAGATCCTTCATCTCCAGCTGAAAAGGCCAGGTACAGGGCAGATCTCTTCCTCTAATCGTTATAAATTCTGACTTGCTATCAGTGTGAAAAGCTGGTTCAGAAAGACATTGAATGTGCGGGTAAAGAGAATGAGTGCTCATCTGCTAGAAAAAAGCCCGAGTGCTACTGGCTATCCATGGAGGAACACGGCTAACATTTTAGGTTTTGGGTTTTTTTTCCCCTTCTCTTTTATCAGAAAGCTCATTCTCTATGCTTCTCATGACACTACCCTTATTCCTCTCCTGGTGGCACTGGGCACCTTTGATCGCAAATGGCCACCGTATGCTGCAGATGTGACCCTGGAACTGTATCAGCACCAGCAGTCCAAAGAGTGGTTTGTTCGCATGTCTTACCACGGAGAGGTAAGATCCCAGGGCAAGTCCATCGTACAAATCTTAGGCTTTTGTTTTTGCCACGCATGCGTGTAAAGCTCTGAAACAAGACTTGTTCCGAGCATGCCATCAAGCCAGATAACAGAGTAAGACACCTACAGCACATCCATGATAGCCAAGATGACTTTTCTGTTGAGCTGGCTATTGATTTAGTGTGAGTTTAGGCAAAGACTTTGAACTTCTGCCTCTGTGCCATTGCCTCAACTAGCACATTTCCCTGCCACAGAATGCATCAGTATCAACAAAAAAGGGCTTTGGCAACACACAAGAACTGTGATTTTGTCTCTTTGCCTTTGCAGGAGCAAGTGGTGAAAGGATGTAGAGCAGGTCTCTGCCCACTCGAAGAATTTCTAGAAGTTCTTTCACAGTACTCAGTCAGTCCAGAGGAGTACAATAACCTGTGCTCCCAAATGGAGGGGAATCAGCAAACTGACTCATGAATTAGTTGTCTTAAATTAAAATTAGTTTATTGTCACAATCTTTGACTATTTTTCTTTATATTCCTGCCAGCCTTCCCTATTCTAAAGATATTTCAGATGAGGGGACTTTTTCCTACCAGACACAGGGTGGCACAGTGTCACTTTTCACTGTGTCACTTTTCACTGTTAGCAGCAAGATGAAAGAAGCCACGAAACAGAATGGCTCGAGTTCACTTCTGAGTGTTCACAAAAGCACAGAGAGGCTGAAAACAGCAAGGGAGAGAACAGACCTTTTTAAATTGCCCTGCTGCTTCAGCAATATGAGAGAAAACATAACTATTCCTCATATGCTGGGACTGTGGGATGAAGCCCAGCTTGCTCTGTGCTACCAGACTTGAGAGCTTTGACATAGCAATTGCTTTTATGTATGGCGAACTGCAGAAGCCACTGTTCCTTTCCCTTTCTTTTGTCATGTTGGAGGGTTGCTCTGCAGACAGATGAACCTTCCAAATTGCATAGCATTTAGCTACCCCATCTTCTTGAGGGTGTTTTTGTGCCCACAAAACCTCTCCAAAGGGACAGAAAGCCTCCAAACCTCTTCCCTGCACTCCTGTAATTATAGAAATTCTGCTGCGAACATGCAAAACAACCACAGTGGGCCAAGTACAAGAACATGCACTCTCGGTGAACTCTGCTTAATGTGCTTTAAACAAGGAAGTCCGGGGAGCTGCTATTGACTTCAGCTTTGGACAGCATTGCATTTATTTTGCACTTGCTGAAACGGGAATACACCAGTATAGCCAACCAAAGTACTTCTAGCTGAGGTGATGACACATCTTCCTGTAAGTACTAAGGATCACTATGTTGCCAAAATCCCCATTTTTCAATCAGTAAATAAAACTTGGATCCTGACCTACTTCCTTTGGGATACGTAAAAGCTAAAAAGAGGGGAACCACTTGTTAAAAGGGCCCTGGAAATTTTGGTTCTGCATTACCCCTTCTCACTTAGTGAAAACAGACTGCGGCGATGTTAGTGTAAGTCATTGACAGATATGTGACTGGAGGCACTACAGTACCTTCTCCCTGAGAAGCGTGGGCTGGGTTTACCTCTACTCTTTCATTAGCCTGCCCCCACCACAATTACATGTTGACACCACGCACAGCGAACAGAATAATTTGAATACTAAATACATTGCTGGAGGTCTCGCTCAACTGCTATTAGCAGCTGTCAAAAAAAGCAAACAAAACATCGTTATTTTCTACCAAGTTTTTATACAGCCTAAAAACATAATGCCCTTACATAAAAATCAATGGCCTACCCTTGCTTAAGAACAGTGCGTTCTGCTCTAATCAAGCTCTCTCTTATGCATGGTATAAAGTATTTGGAGAACGGTGATGGAAACATTAGGCATACGATTGCAAGTTATCTGTGAGGCACAGACTGCTTGGGAAAGGGGCATCAGGGAACAGCATCAGAAGCTTTGGCCATACCATTGTCTTTGGCCATAGACAAAGGGGGAATTCACGTACCTTCTGAACAAGACCTAGGAGCACCTCCCAGCAAAACTGACCAGCAACCAGGTTAAAAATTGCAACACAGCCAAGACCCACAGAACTCGGCAGTGCGAGCTGTCCTAGTGCACGTAACATCGTTAAAGGGCACTGCATTCACACTGTCAATCATATCACTCTAGGCAGGGTAACATACATCTCAGGAACAGCAGAAGACCCCAGAAAAACAGGCCAGCTTTTTGGCAGTGGCTAGGAAGAAGCCTCTGCTGGGAACAGGTTACTTCTTCATTGTCTCTTACAGGGTTTCTGCAGTGCCCTCTGGGCCCCACTCCAGCCATAGTTGTGGCCCACAGTATGAAGAAGGAGTTATTTCTGACCACAACTAGCATAAATAATGACTTCAGAAGAGGACTGGTGGGACAGCGGAAGAGTTTTAAGACCAAAGGACACAGGTAAGTGGAAAATGCTGAACTGCAAGCACAGCATGGAAGAGCTGAGGCATTTTTGAGAACATGGAATAAAAGTTTCCAGAAATCAACAATTTCCCAAGGAACCAGTGCATTTACATGAATAGGCCAACTCTTTGCAAGAACTGGGAAAGACATAAATCCCAGGGTACAGAAAAAGAAATTCAAAACTTTCTTACACTGGGCTGTTAATAGGAGAACCGCTGACATGAGCGGCTAACATGTTCAACCCCAGGTTCCCTCAGACTTGAGCTGGAGCTGCTAACCCAAGTTAGTCTGCCTCCCTTCCTATTGTAGTCTAATGCAGTTAACACAGGTTGGTCAACTTAAACCTAAAAGACTTCTTCTCATTTTGCATTGTAAACCTAACCTCATATAGTATGTTTCATTTAAGGCAACCTTAGTATAGTAGGTAATTGACAGGAAAGATGTCAACTTAAATTTAGGTTTTGTCTTCTCCTCATGCAAAACATCCTCTTTTAAAGTTTCCAGTATCCCAGATAAAACAGCATCACTTTTCTTTCCTGCTTCATGCTCTGACTCAAACAAAAACAATCATAAGCTTAAAACTTGAGTGCATAATGAGTCACAAGGACCTACATCTCTCGGCACGAAGGGTTTGCTGGTTGAAAGTCAAAAGGAGATCAAGGACAGTGAGCTTGGTATATTTGTCAATAAACCCAACATAATAAAGCTAGCAGTTCGGGTTTGGGTCTTTTTTAAGGCCTGAAGAATGCTCCTGATAATGCGCTTTAATCTTAAGCAGAAAGAACATGATAAAGCTAGGTGTTACACATCTACCACAACAAACAGCATTAACAGAAATGATGGGAAACTATGCGGACTGGCTAAAAACTGAAAAATCTTTCAATTAGAGGTCACCTTGCCAGAAAGATGACACAGCACATATGCAAGACAACTTACCTTTTTTAGGTTAAGAATTACTACCAATCGATACAGTGAAGTGTGCTCTACTAAATACAGGTCTGCATCAAACATGGATCATTTCTCCTTGAGAACTATCAAAATAGGGAGCAGGTTTCAGCCAACAGCCTGCCAAGGCTGCACGAGGAAAGCATTCACCATCGTGAGTGGAGAAAAGCACCACCAATGAAACACAGCCTTTTCTGCCAGCAGAATGAAAAGCAGCGTAGTAGACAGTCAGCATACCAAGCACTGCAAAATTAACCCCTGTGTATACTATATTTGTAATAGGCCCAACACTCTGGCACAACAAATGCTGCGTTCCAACAGTCTAAGAAGTGTGTTCAGGATTCACACTTACCCTCAGGAAGAGTCAGGCACCCTCATCTACTCCAAGTCAGGATACATGTATTGTCTACCAGAAGCACCACCAGCATTCAAGTCCCAACCAAGACTGATGCAGATTAGGTCTCCCCATACTGGTCTGTCACCCATTAGATACCACTAGGAGGTCAGGACTAAACTCATAAGGCCGGCTCCTTGCTTGTCATGTTCTTTGGTAGATTAGCTAGCCCATGATACAGGTACAAAGCTTGAGTTTATTAGGACAGTGCTTAAAACCGCCAGCGTACTTCACAGATGACCTGTTTGCAACAGTCTACTACTTTAAAACAAACAGATTTCAAATATTTTAAACTTTTGATTTAGCAGGCGCATTACTTTGCGTTTCAGAAGTTCACCATCTGCTGGGTTTACCTTTTAAGTCTCTCCACACTCCGGCTGCGCAGCCATCTGGGATGAGATAATTTGAACAGCAGACTGTTTCCTCCCATGTTACTAGAGAGGAAGAGCAGCCAAGCATGTATGAATAAAGTATATTTCATTCTTTCAAACAAAGGTGGAGGAGGATGATTTGAAAGTTTAAAAAAAAAAAAAAGAGGAGGGGGAGGGGATGAAAACTAAAAATGGCAACCCCACTTTCCGTCTTCAACTGCACCATGACTACCAGAGCTGAGTCACAGTTACTATTGATTATAAATAAGTAGGAGAGAACAGAGCCTGACTTACAGATCCCAAGGTGAATTTGCAAGGCTGGCAGCTAGAAAGCTTTTTCATTTGCAAAGCAATATGGGGAGAAGTAGAATCAGAGCAAAACAAAGAAGTTCAGTCTACATCTACCAAGTCGTTTTTCCAACCGGAGCCAGCTAAGGCATTAGCATCTCTTCTCCATCAGCTAGTACAAACGAGGCAACACCACTGAGGTTAAGTGCACCTACATGGACTCAGTAGATTCCACATCTTCTGCATTTTCTGTAGGAAAAATCTTGTTAAGATACCAAATGCCAACATCTTAAGTTAGACGGACACAGAATGAACTTTAATTATCCAGCATCTTTAAAATGTATCCTTTCACTGCCAGGTGGCTTTGAAACAGTGAATCCCCTATGCCAATTTTTTTTAGAGTAAGTCACAGTCAGCTCAAATGCTTTGCTATTCAAAATACCTCAACGGGCATAGGAGGCACTGAGAAAGACTGTTAAAAAACCCCCAAACCCTCCAGGTTATTTCTATGTCAATCAAGAAGTTTGCTTTGTTCAACATGGTAAAAACAGTAAGGAGTCCTGGCAGAAGTGGCAACACTTAAAAAGGTTGCACTGTGACAACTCCCGTGCAAGGTCCTCAAAAGGGAGCTGTGCAACCATTTAAAGAAGAGGTAACTCCGCTCTACAGAAATAACACTTACGGTGTCGTTGTCAGCTCTTTCGAAAATCTTGACAAGCCCGTGCTTCAGGCATGCTGCTTGTCTTGTTCGAGGGAAGCACCACAACACACATCCTACACTTTGTCAGAAGAGTAATTCTCACCCAAAATCATCGTAAATTTGCGTGACAGCACAAAGGTGAATTTGGAAGCAGGCAACAGAAGGCTCTGAGGCTTGCATGCCTCCAGCAGTGTATGGCTTCACTCATTTTGCAACACTAGCAATGAAAATTTGGTAAGGCGGCCACCGACAGCAATTCTTTTTCCACCTGTTAAGGATCAGTTAACTCTGGAAAAACTCTCATGCACAAGCATATTAAAGATACCCATTCTCCACATGAAGTTTCACACTAATTGCCAGCCCTTTGAGGAAACTACTCATTGAAATAATT